TGCAGCCGTCATTGTTGTTTGGCGGGTCCGGGCTGGGGATTCGAACCCGCCACCTTAGGTGTACGTGGCTGGCGCCTTAGCCGGTTGAGCCATAGGCGCCGAGCCCGCATTTTAAATAATAAAGAAAACGGACCGTAAAAAGGAAGGCCGTGCGCGCGCCGGCGACTGCCTGTGGGTTAACTTAGCACTGCGTCCCTCGCCTTCTCTCTCAGCCAGTCCTGGCCACTGCGGGGCCCGGCCGAAAGCTAGGCCGCAGTCCCGGGGTGGTCCTCTGGCCCCGCCCCCTCCCACCTGGTGCGCCCCGCCCCGCTGCCGTCAGGCCCGGCGCGCTGACGTCCGACGCTCCCAGGTACTTTCCCCACCGCCCGCAGGGCTCGGCGTGGGGCGGGGGCGGGGCGCAGAGCGCGCATGCGCCGAAGCGACAGTACGCTCCCCGGATCGTGCGGGGCCTGAGCCTCTCGGCCGGCGCAGGCTCCATTCACACCAGCTTGCTCCCGTCGCCATGCCCACTGCCATCGAGCGGGAGTTCGAGGAGTTGGACACTCAGTGTCGCTGGCAGCCCCTGTACTTGGTGAGTCGTCCGCCCCTTTGGCGGTGGCCGCCTTTTTCCTCTGAGACCCGGGCCCATGCCTACCGGTTCCCTCCCGCTTCCCCAGCCTCTGGCTCCGAGCGGAAGTGGCGGCGCGGCAAGCGTCAGGGGCGCGCCTGCGCCGACCGCTCTCTTAAGCCTTTTCGTGGTGGGGGGGGTGGAAAGCTTTAGAAAGAGAAGCCTTGTTCTTGGCGCAAGCGCAGAGTTAATTCTGGAAGGCGGCGCCACAGCGGCCCCTTGTGGGGGGCGTTGCTGGGCCGGGAGCTGCGCGCGCCGGGGCATGAAGTGCGGTGGGAAGTCTGTGTGGGCGCTGGGAGCGGGCCCGGGGGCGCCGGGCAGCGCCTCGCCGTGGCTCCCACGGCCTGTGCGTGGCTGTCGCTCGCGGGCACCCTTTTCGCAAGCCAGGTGTTCCCGGGAAGCTCGCACGGGGGTCGGGGTCTGAGCGGGTCGGCCCGGGGCCGCGGAGCCTGCCGTTCCGCAGGTGACGCCTCCGAGGGTGTGGGCAGCTCGTGGGCCTGTGGCGCCGGCGGTGTTCTCGGGGTCTCACAGTGTTGGTTTTCTCAGGGGCGTAGTGTGTGTTAGCGTGTGGTCTTTCACAGACAGCCTTCCTGGGACGAGACGAAGCTGTGGTCGTATTAGTTCAGGGATAAAGCATTCTTTAATTTTCTTTACTCATAAGCTCTGCGTTCAAACGACTTTGAAATGTATAACCCGTGCAACCTCCGCTCAAATCAAAATAACCTGTCACCCCCGAAAGTGTCGTGGTGCTCCCTTCCTGGCCCTGTTGGCCGCCGTGGTTCTGAAGCCCACCCGGTAGGATAATCTTGTCTGTTCAAGTCACGGTAACGGAATCTGCGCTGTGAAGACTGTGACTAGCTTTTTTTTTTTACATCAACTAGAGGACCTTTTAATTCAAACAAAATTTTTATCTTTCTTTTATCTTTTATAATTTCATTGCTTATCTTCCGTTTAACCATCGGCTTGTTACTTGCAAGATTGATTTTGGTGGTTGGCGAGTTAAATGCTACTTCTGATGTTTATGTAAAAGAAAAAAAGTGGGCGGCGCCTGTGGCTCAGTGAGTAGGACGGCGGCCCCCTATACCCGGGGTCGTGGGTTCAAACCGGCCACGGCCAAATTGCAACAAAGAAATAGCTGGACGTTTTGGCGGGTACCTGTAGTCCCAGGTGCTCTGGAGGCTGAGGCAAGAGAATCACCTAAGCCCAACAGCTGCTGGAGGTTGCTGTGAGCTGTGACACAACAGTACTTTACTGAGGGGGATAAAGTGAGACTCTGTCTTTAAAGAAAGAAAAAGAAAAAAAAAGCTTTCCTGTTAATCTGGATAATCCTGGGTTTTTCCCCCATTGGACTTAATTAGTCAAAAATTAAGTAAAAAATACTTTACGTTTATATGTTTGAAATGTAATGCTTTCTAGATCACATTAGCAGGGAGTATAATAAATACCCTGCTTTACACGGATAGAGCACTAACTTTTAATGAATGCTGATAAGGACACTTCAGTTATAGACAATCTGAGATGCAAAGTCCAGTAGGAATCTTTATGTGAGAACCTGCCAGCTGCACGTTCTCCAGTTTTGTTGTAGCAGAGGCTACTGTCTTCTGAGAAAGGCATAAGGGATATAATCCAGGTACAGGTTTGAGACGAGAAAAGTGAATGCTACAGCTTAATTCAGCCTGGTATTTTGGTTTTCTTCCTTTGTGTGTGTGTGTGTGTGTGCGCGCGCGTGCGCGCGCGCATATGTGTCATCTTTGACAATTCAGTTAAAATCGTGATGTCTTGCCAGAGAAATAAATATATGGACTTGCCTCCACTGCACATTTTGCATCCACTTTTAGGGAGTACAGAGTTAAGGAAACTCTTACATGGACTCTTATTGGTAAATCTTGTAGTTTACTTGATTGGTCTACATCACAGTATTTTTTTTTTATTAAATCATAGTAGTGTACATTAATACTGTCATGGGGTATAGTGTACTTTTCTATATACTATATATATATATATTTTTGAGACAGAGCCTCAAGCTGTCCCCCTAGGTAGAGTGCTGTGGCATCATAGCTCACAGCAACCTCCAACTCGTGGGCTCAAGCGAGTCTCCTGCCTCAGCTTCCCAAGTAGCTGGGACCACAGGCGCCCGCCACAACGCCTGGCTATTTTTTGGTTGCAGCCATCGTTGTTTTGGCGGGCCGGGCTGGATTTGAACCCGCCACCTTAGGTGTATGTGGCTGGTGCCTTAGCCACTTGAGCCACAGGCGCCGAGCCTCTGTATACAGTTTGAAATACTTTCATCCACTGGTTAACATAGCCTTCATGTCTTTTTCTTAGTTAATGTGTTAAGACATTTATATTCTTTTTTTTTTTTTTTTTGAGACAGAGCCTCAAGCTATCCCCCTGGGTAGAGTGCCATGGCATAGCTCACAGCAACCTCCAACTCCTGGGCTCAAGCGAGTCTCCTGCCTCAGCCTCCCAAGTAGCTGGGACTACAGGCGCCCACCACAACGCCTGGCCATTTTTTTGGTTGCAACCATCATTGTTGTTTGGTGGCCCTGGGCTAGGGATTCGAACCCGCCACCTTAGGTGTATGTGGCTGGCGCCTTAGCCGCTTGAGCCACAGGCGCTGAGCCAAGACATTTATATTCTACATTTAGAGAGATTCACATGTACCCTTACAGGATGAACCATAGGTGTGGTCCTACCAATTAACCTTCCTCAACCCACCCTCTCCCCTCTCCTCCTCACCCTCTTCCCTCTCCCCATATTCCTGGGCTAAAATTGGGTTATAGCTTTCCTGTGAAAGCTATAAATTAGTTTCATAGTAGGGCTGAGTACAGTGGATACATTATTATTTATTTTTTATTTATTTTTTATTTTTTTGAGACAGAGCCTCAAGCTGTCACTCTGCTGTGGCATCACAACTCACAGCAACCTCAAACACTTGGGCTTAAAGGATTCTCTTACCTCAGCTTCCCAGGGAGCTTGGGACTACAGGTACCTGCCACAACATCCGGCAATTTTCTTTGTTGTTGCAGTTGTCATTATTGTTTTAGTTGGCCCGCACCAGGTTTGAACTCGCCAGCCTCAGTGTATGTGGGTTACACTCAGCTACCTACTGAGCTATGGGCGCCACCTACTTTTATTTTTGAGGCAGCGTTTTACTCTGTCACATTTGGTAGAGCGCAGTGGTGTGATAGCTCACAGCAACCTTAAGCTCTTGGATTCAAGCGATCCTCCTGCCTCAGCTTCCTGTATAGCTGGGACTATAAGAACCCACCATAATTTCCAGCTAGTTTTTTTATTTTTAGTAGAGATGGGGTTTCACTCTTGCTCAGGCTGGTCTTGAACTCCTGAGCTCAATCCATCCTCCTGTCTTGGCCCCCCAGAGTGCTGGGATTACAGGTGTGAGGCCACTACACCCAGCCACTCATATTATTATTTTATTTTCTAATCAAAAAGCAAGACCATTAGTTTGGTCTGTAGAAACTATGTCATGCACATGGGTGTTATAGTAAAAGTAGGTCACAAACCAAGAAAATTAGTAATGAAAAGCAATTCAGGAAGAGTTTGGACTAAGTGTTTTCCTGTGGCCTTTGAAGTTCCATTCAGCCATTCTACAAAAGTATATACTGACCCCAATGGCTCTGGCTTTTGCTCTGGGCCTTGAAGATTCTGCGGAGAATGTCATTGACAAGGTTTCTGGGGGTTTTGGTTTTATTTATTTTATTTATTTATTTGAGACAGTCTCAAGCCGTTGCCCTTGGTAGAATACTGTGGCATTACAGCTCACAGCAACCTCAAACTCTTGGGCTTAAACGATTCTCTTGTCTCAGCCTCCCAAGTAGCTGGGACTGCAGGCACCCACCACAGTGCCCAGCTATTTTTTGGTTGTAGTTGTCATTGTTTGGCAGGCTAGATTCGAACCCACCAGCTCCAGTGTATGTGGCTGGTGCCCTCGCCACTGAGCTACAGGCACCGAGCCAATTTATTTATTTATTTTGAGACAGTGTCTTGCTGTGTCTCCCTGGATGGAGGGCATTGATGTCAGCTCACTGCAACTTCAAACTCCTGGCTCAAGTGATTCTCTTGCCTCAGCTGGGCAAGTGAGTGGGGCTGTAGGTGCATTCCACAACCCTGGCTAATCTTTCTGTTTTTAGTGGAGATGGGGTCTCGCTCTTGCTCAGGCTGGTCTCAAACTCCTGAGTTCCGGGGATCCTCCCGCCATAGTCTCCCAGCTTGGGAGCAGCAGGTTCTTGCTTTTGAGGTGCTCACATTCTGGGACATGGATTCTTGGGGCCTCGTTGCAATTCCATATTCTCTTTATTTTGGGGGAGGATAAAGTCTCATTTGGTCACCTTTGGTAGAGTGCTGTGACATTTTAGTTCACAGCAACCTCAAACTCTTGGGTTCAAGTTATTCTCTTTCTTCAGCCTCCCAAGAAGCTGGGACTACAGGTGCCTGACAGGATGCCTGGCTTTTTTTTTTTTTTTTTTTTAAAGAGATGGCTCTGGCTACGGGTGGTCTGAAACCTGTGAGCTCAGCCAGTCCACCTACCTGGGCCTACAAAGTTCATGAATTACTCAACGCCTGGCCATATATATATACACATATATACATTAAATGTAAGGCTTGGTGCCTGTAGCTCAGTGAGTAGGGCACCAGCCACATACACAGAGGCTGGCAGGTTTGAGCTGGCCTGGGCCTGCTAAACAAACAGTGATAACTGCAACCAAAAAATAGCCAGGCACTGTGGTGGGTGCCTATAGTCCCAGCTACTTGGAAGGCTGAGGCAAGAGAATCACTTAAGCCCAAGAGTTTGAGGTTGTTGTGAGCTGTGATGTCACTGCACTCTACTGAGGGCGACATAGACTCTGTCTAAAAAAAAAATAAAGTGATAAATGTAAAGCTAGTTGTTAGGCCAGACTCAGTGGCCCAGGCCTATATAATCCTAGAACTCTGGGAGGCCAAAG